GGATTAGAGGAAGACTCATCAACAAGCTGCATTATGCAGACAATACACCCTTGCTTGCAAAAAGTAAAGAGGACTTAAGTACTTGCTTTTGGTGGTGGTGTTGTATATTGTACAGTCAGAATTGACCTATAGATGACCCTCCAGCCGGTTTTCAGAGGCTGGGAAGAGATTGCCCATCCTTCTCCCCCGGAATAGCTGGTGGCCTTGAACCCTGTGCTTTTGGGATTGCAGCACAGTGTACTGCCGATAGGCCACTAGAAAACACCTGCCTTAGAAGATCAAAGACTTCTGCCTTCAATGTGGTTTATTTCAATATCAAGAAAACAAAAACCTCACCACTGGGATGACAGGCAATATCACATTAGATGGAAGAAAAGATTGAAGTTGTTAACAATTTAACTTTACTTGAATCCACTATCAACACCCAAAAAAAGAGCAGGCAAAAAAAAAAAATCAAAAGATGTGTTGCATTGAGAAAATCTGCTGTCAAGTACTTCTCTAAAGTGCCTAAGGGCAGTGATGTCTGAAGACTTAGGTGTGTCTGATGCAAGCTCTTTTCAATTACTACTTATGTATCTGAAAGTTAGACAATGAATAAGGCTGACAGAAGAATCAAAGCCCTTTCATTGTGGTACTGGAGAGATGAATAGCCTATGGACTGTCAAAAGGCGAAATAAGTCTGTCTTGGCGGAAGTACAAATAGGGCGCTACTTGGACGCAAGGATGTTGAAATTTCATCTCCCATACTTTGGGCATATTATCAGGAAGGGAGAGTCCTTGGAAAATACATTATGCTGGGCAAGTGGAGGGTTAGAGAAAGAGAGGAAGATCCTAAACAAACTTGATTGACAGAGTGACCACAATAATGGGCTCAAGCATATCAGAGACAGTGAGGATGGCACAGGGCAGGACACGTTTCAGATCTCTTGTTCATAGGGCTGCTATGAGTTGTAGTCAAAACAACAGTACTTAAGAACAACAGTAACAATAACCCTGGTTGTTATAGTGCTGTTGTTGTTATGTGCCGTCGAGTCGCCTGTGACTCATAGCGACCCTATGTACAACAGCCCTAAACTCCATTCTGTCCTGTGCCAATCGCACTGTCTCTGACACTCCCATCCCAATTA